CCTGCGTCCCCTGCACCGGCAGGCGGACTCTCAACCACTGTGCCACCAGGGAAGCCCCATAAAACTAAGTTTATTCAATTTTTACCACTCTCCTGTATTTTGAAATTATGCCCTTTCTATTATTTCGGACATATATAGTTCTTTTATGAAATGGTGATGGTAGGGTATTTTTAAAGTTTGTTTTCAACGTCCTCACTTGAAAAAGCTTTTCCCTAGTCCGGGAAACCCCACAGCCTGAAAAGCGTAAGGTTAAGCCAGTGCTCGTAAGCCTCATCTGGAAATGCCCACACGGGTCAGCTAGTGCCGTGGTTAACCGGCTTCCAGCACCAGCCTGCACCCAAATTAGCCAGTTATCCTGGAGAAGCCCTTCTCCTTTCAAGGGACTCGTAGTGCTCAGAAGAGAGTCCGAAGTGTCTGAACACAGCCAGCCCCCAGCACTGGAAGGACAATTCCAACCAAGTGTGCGTCCCACTGAGGGAAGCCTGGGGAGTCGGCCACGTGGCCACAGCCGGCAGGAGAGATACTGGCCCTCACAAGTGTTTAGTGAATTAGTCAATTAACGTACGGTCACTGGGAAAGATAAGAAATCCAATACCGGAAATTCTGCTTCCAGAAATATGGATTCCAGAAAAGTGCACTCACTTTTCCCTATTCCTCGTGCTTAGCACAGCTACAAACTCTGTACTAAAGCCCCTTCGTGGATTATTTTATCGAATCCTCACAAAACCCTATGAAATTGTATTATGATTATCCCCGTTTTTCTACAGGAAACTGAGGCATTACCTGCCCGAGAAAAACTACCCTGATGCTCCAGCTGCCAGAGCGACGGAGTCTTGAAGATAAAAGTCTCTCCTCTCTGAAGAGAAGCCTCGGCTTATTTAGTTTGAGTGAAGTTAGCATCATTTTACCCAGAGACCCACTTCTGGCCCCAGGCAGGTTCCTCCCGAGAGTGTCGCTGCGGCAATTGTTCAGGGCTCTCAGAGCTCACGCGGTACGGTCCCCTCACCAAGATAGCAACCCTCCCTGCGGTGCCCGATTCGCTTAACACATCTCTGGACAGGGACGTCCTGACTCATCGGGCGGGCCCTGCACTGCTGTGCAGCTCCCGCGGGTGAGGGCTGGGTCCCGTCCACGCGCCCTGGCCCGGTGCCCCTCAGGCGAGATGGCTTCTAGACTCCTCACGTGCTCTGGGCACGCTGGCTGCCAACGCCCTGCTTAACGCTGCCCAGACTGATCACAGCCCTCCGGACGCGGCTCAGCTGGCGGGGCAGGGGTGGGGTCGGGACGTCAGGTCTGTGAACAGGCTCACGTGACGGAAGGGAAGGAAGCCCAGTCGTTTCTCCAGCGGCACAAGAATATGTGTGGCTGTTAAAGACCGGTTTGGTGTAGCGGTGAGGATGATGTCATTTACTGCAGTACAGTTTGTGCCTTAGGGAACGGGTGGCAGGTGACCTTGATGGAAATCCTGGTGCTACTACTGGTTAACCTTGGAGAGACTACTCACCTCTCTGAATCTCAAGGCTATGACCTATATCTCTTGGGGCCCTTGTGGACATCAACTGAGATCAGGCCTGTGAAATGCCCTTAACACCAAAGAATTATGCAAACGGGAAGTTATTGATAATAATAACACCAAAAGACCTATCATAAGGCCAAGTCTCAGGGAGCAGAGGGACTGGAGTTAATCTAGACCTCCCCGGGTGCTGTCCACCGTCGGGGCCGGAGAAGCAGAGCACGGCGGGCTCTAACTGCTGTCCAGGCTCCTCTCACAGCGGGCTCGAGGCCCTCTCCGTGAGCCAGTGCCGCCCAGCTGCTCAGGCACCGGGCCGGGGTTTAAACTCAGCTGTCACTCTACAGCTCCTATTTCCCACGTGACACATCCCAGCACAGGTGTGACTTTCCATCCACGTTACCGAGGGCTTTCCCGCTTAAAGTCAACAGAGAACAGAGGGAAACGCTACCTTCTTCAGCTCAATGATCTCGTCATACATGCCCTCCTTCTCTCTGTAGACAGGGGTCCCAGGAACATAACCTGCAGGGAGACACACAACCCTCTGAAAAGACTGTCTGCAAAGTAGAAGGAATTCTTGGCCACACCTTAAGGGAAACCTGGAGGTTAATGAAATTATTCTTTTTTTAACTTCTTTCCCCAGAAGTAAGGAAACCAAAACCGGTATTGATACAGAAAGAAAAAGCAAGAGAAAACTAAAAGATGTGAACACGGGGCTTAATTATAGTAAAAGGATTAACGGAAGGGGTCAAAAGGAGAAGTGCTGTCTTTAGATTTTAAACAGCAAACAGATAAAAAGACAAACAAAAACAAACGTGGTTATGTCGTCACGCAGATGACAGCACCCAGTCCGATGTCTAACGGCAGGTACAGTGTACACTGCCCTCTGCTCCCATGTGACCCCTAAGGGGTCAGGACTCTGAAACACACCAGCCTGAAACAGCGCTGCCAGCTAGCGGTGCGGCAAGGTGACCATCCCTGGCACCAGGACAAGGCTCCTCTGTGCTTCCCACGGGGCCAGGGCCGACAAGCAAAGCAGTAAAGGAGGGAGGAAGCACGTGGGTAAGACCAGGCAGGAAGACGGAAACATGAAAACCAACCGATTCTTTTTGGTGACATCTGGGGTTTTTATTATCCTTGCAGTTTTCATTTCTGAGATTGTTTATACAACAAATTTAAATACAACTCTAAGTTTAGGGAGATAGGCACCACTGAAGCCCGGGACGATGTCTCTGTCCACATCGGGAAAGCCGCTTTCTAGGAGGGCAGGATGGACTTTCAGGGGCCACTGTCCTCAGGACACTCTGACTGAGGGAGCCCCAGATCTCACTGTCAGAGCACACCCACCAATCCCCATACCCTTCCGCTCTGCTGTTCCTCAGTCGTGGCTGTGTCACCATCAACGTGCTCACCGTGGCTGGCAGAACGCCTGAGATCTGACCTCTGCATTCTTTCCGCTTCAGTCAAATCGTCAGGGGTGCTGCTGGGGGGGGCTGTTGGTCCATGCACGCTCCAAGGTGAGGTCTGATTTCAGGGCTGGGGTCAGACCTCCTGGTTTCAACGTGCATGGATTTAATATGACAGGCACAAGCAGAGACAACGTAAGGCGCTGCCTCTAATAATCAGTCTTCAGGGTTGAAGAAAGCTTAGGGAGACCAGTGGTGTGTGAGAAACGTCCAGCCACCGGCCCGCAAAATAAACAAAGCCCTGATGTGTGGCGTTTGCCCACTCCCGCGGTGTGCGTATCCCCGGCACACCCAATCTCAAGCTGCCGGTGTGACACGGGACAGCTCACACAACTCCTCAAGCCAGCAGGAGCAGCTCCAAAACACGACTTCCCGCAGCGCCCAGACAAGCCAAGACCCAGGCGGCAAACGTCAGGAACCACACCACATGCTGCGTAAAAGCCGTGAGGCGCGATGTCTTTGAGAAGATCAAAAACAGTGCGGCTCAAACGAGTCGTATTAAACGCTCTGTGCCAAGTCACCACCCGAGATTTCTAAGACGCTCCCCTTGAGCAGGAAGGGTTTCTCCCAGGCGACCACATACCTTGCTTTGAGCTTCCCAGCCACAGCTTCTGGGGGGTTAAGGACATTCGGCTCCCGAGAGGCGCGCTGCCGGCTGTCCTCAGAGACCTCCAGGAGGCCACTTTTCCCGGCTTAGAGTGATAAGGTGACTCTGAAAAGCCAATGTGTGGTTTTAGAGGTGCAAGGTATCAATGCCCGCTCAACACATGTGCTTCAGAGAGACAAAAATGATAAAGCAAAATATTTACAAGGACGTGACAACCCCAGATCCTGACAAAATTAAAACTAGAGTTATGACTTGTAGGTATACTTACAGTTGTTTTTTACTTTTTACTATAGAGAAATAACGGGACATTTATTTTAAAATATGAATCTAAAATTCTACCAATATTACAGTACTTAATTTCCCATTCAATTTTTTCAGATGCATATGTATTTTTATATAGCTGCAGTCATAGTGAACACACAATTTTGTATCCTTTATACTTAACACTGTAAATATTTTTCCATGTTGCTGTCAATACATAGCGTGCAAGTAATAATATTTAGAACTTGATATGTAAAACGGCTAGAAGAAATGAGGAAAAAATTACATTTTTCCAGGGTATTTTTGATTTTGTCATCAAAACAATGGAAAGGTTTTAAAATTATATTTTAATCTGGAATCTTATGGAGATTATGCAAACTTATGCAAAACCAAGCTATTCATAAAACATGCCTATATTTCTTAAATACCAAAGAAATTTATATCTGTAGAAGGTCCTGGGATTCTAAATCTGATACATTTAATTTTTAAAATTTCTAAGATTTTTCCACGGCTTCAGAATTTATGGAAAATTTCCCATTATTGTTTAGGGTGAAGGAGTAAAGACACATTGGACCCTGAGGCATTTCCACTCATCCAGGACCACTGTGCTCCACTTCCAGGATATTTGGAAGGGCTTCCAAACTTTAAACATGCATCTAAGTGCTCATTTATGAAGGTAAATTAGTGATCGGAAAAAACCCACAAACGACATTTCCCTCCTAAATGTATGGGATTTATCGATAAGTAGTAAGGATTCCCAAACATGCACGCCTATGGATAGAGCTGTGAAGGAAGAAGAAAAAAGGCAGCAGGCGGTGCAAACCTGTCGGCGTGGAAGGACCGGAAACTGGCCACCCGCCCCGGCCTCCTTGGAGCACTGTGAGGCCCGAAAATCTCAGAGCGCAGGTAGCTGCAAACCCACGTGGCCCCGGACCGGGCAGTGAAGAGAACCACTTATGAAGTGAACGGGACAGGCATGACTCCTTCTGTCACGGCCCAGAAATCAGACAGGCGCACACCTCTTAAGGGAGTGTTAGGAGGGCGGGCTGGGGGTGTCCCAGGGAGGGGACACAGAGCGTCCTGTCGCAGTGTCCATGTTGGATGAGCAAGGTGCCTGGGATCAGCGCTGCTGCGGGGACAGGCGTCAGGCATGGCCGGGGGAGAGCACGCTGGGGGGCGGGCAGGGGCAGGGCCACTGGTGACAGCACACCTCTCAGGGGGTTTTAATGCTTTGGGGGTTCTGGCCATCCTAAATTACGTGAAACACAATTCTGACATTTACAGAAATCGAGATAAGAGTAATTTGATTACTAGCATTTTCAACACTTGAAATGCTTGACTTCCAGCAAGAATAATGAGAGATGTCTGACATTTACCTTATGTACTTTCTAGACAAGAAGGACTGAAACAAAATGGGCTGAAAAGAGAAGGTTTAAAACACAAACACCCATACTTTCACTTTATATCAATTCTCAATTTTCTCCACGGAAGGAGAGCCAGGACCTCCAAACTCCAGATTGCTAGATGGCTTCTTTCTAACGCCTGTATTTGTTTGTAATATAAAACATGCTTTCTTCTCTTTGTAGGAATTTATCTTTCCGATTATGTTGTTCCTGGGCTAATATGAAAGTTCACTTGTATTCTCTGAGTGTGTCATATATAAGACAGTATGTTTCAAATACTTATGTATATAAGAAATGTAAGCATACACATATTGTACACACACACATAGATAATAAGTCAGGCAAGGCCACAGGCTTGTGCACAGCAAAAGGAAGCCGGTCTAGGATTTGGTTTGTCACAAAGGCCTCGGGAAACATAAAATTCAGCAAAGCACCCAGATGAACAGCTTTGTGTCTCAAGGAATAAATCCTGCGTTGTCTTCACTTTGGCAGCGCTGGGAAGCGTATGGCGACTTGAGAAAGAGAACATGAAAGGCCGCGAAGCACTGTGTGTGTGGGAGGGAGGAGGGGGGCTCAATGGGACAGTGACAGCTCGGGACCTCAGCCCTCGCGGGCCCTGCCTCAGTGGTCCTAAGGGTTCAGAGAAGAAGGCGGTCCTGATCTTCCTCGCAGGACGCTGGGGAAGGAGGGCTTCCAACCACCATTTTCTGAGTTAAACTGTGGAAACTTGAGGGACAGGGGCCTGGTCATACTTACTCGGTGATGTAGGGGGAGGTCTGTGGAAACTTTTCCTTTTCGCTTTCTGAAAGGAAGAAGAAACGAGGGAAAGCGGGTTGAGCCTTCTCGAGCAGCCCCAACGGTCCCAACCAGGAAGCACCGGGGTGTTCAGGATGCGCAGGGGCGGCAGATTAACTGGCCAAAGCAGAGTGCACGCAAAGGAGGGAACAGGGCACAGGGAGGCGCCCCCAGACACAGGAGCAGCAGCCCGGCCTGCGTCCAGCGCAGACAGAGGTGTGCCGCCTCAAATCCGCCCTGAAGGTACCACCAGCTGTCCCCACGCCCCCCTGGAGCACGGGGGTGTGACTGTCCGCAGGGGGGACTCAGCAAGATGAAACCTGAGAGTGAGGCAGAGGGGAAGGTGCAGCAGGAGTGGCCTGCCTGGAACCCAGGGGCCCCTGCCATGCCTTCCTCCCCGATCTGCTTCACGCCGGACACAGAACCCCACTTACTTCCCTGCCAGCGGGAACACTGAAGTGCTCTGTGCAGGCTGACTTTCCCCCAGGAGATTGGTCCCGATCCCTCCTCCTCCCGGGAGCATCTTGGGCCCGTGCCCTCAGTGGCGTGGAGGGAACACTCTTAGCTCTGTGGAGGTCCTGCGCCTCAGACAACAGGCCCAGGATGCTGCCCCTGGAGTCCCTAGAGCTGTGGTGGGACGTGCTGGGGCCGCCTTCCCCCAGGGCTACGTTCTGTGGTTAGGCTAGAATTTATCTGCTGGGAGGCGAGCACCTGCCAAGGTCTCCTTTCTCACACCTCAGCCTCCGACTGCATCATGGAGCTCTGCTCCCGACCCCCGCCTCCGCCGTTACGTGTCAGGATTGGGGGGCTGGGGTCGGGGGGAGTGCAGGCCAAAACCAGGTGCAGGACAGGAACTTGTCATCAGCCTCAAAAGTACTCAGCTCACGACTAACTTCTGGGTAAAAGTTTTAAAATTATAATCTAAGTTATTCAAATCCACCTGAGGGGCCTGGAGCTTTTCAGACTCGGAGCAGCATTTGGAATTTGTGATGGGGCACTAAACACAGCACTTGTGGGGAGACCGCGTGTGAGTACCGCAGCCACGCCTCCCCTCCCCTGCACTCACCGTCTCTGAGTCAGAGTCGAAGGTTATTGCAGACAGGCTGTCATCTCCCTGGAGGAAGAGATGCAAACAGCGAAAGCTTCAGGCACCAGCTTGGCTCCACAGTCACCCTGACAGAGTGGGAGCGGCCGGGCCAGGCGGTGCTGCGGCCGCAGAGCCCCCATCCAACTCAGAGCATCCGTCCACAACACTCACAGCAGGAGCAGCCGGTCTGTCCCGTCGCATCCGAAGGAACAGATGGGGACACAGAACAAAACTCTGCTGGCCCCACCCCTCTAGGTGGTCACAAACCACCGAGGTGGGATAGGGAGGGTGGAAGGGAGGGAGACGCAAGAGGGAAGAGATATGGGAACGTATGTATATGTGTAACTGACTCACTTTGTTATAAAGCAGAAACTAACACACCATTGTAAAGCAATTATACTCCAATGAAGATGTTTAAAAAAAAGCAAAGAAAACCAAAACTCTGCTGGCAGGGCTGCTCCAGGCCTGTCAGTCTAGCGACACCGTCTCCACAGAACTGACAAACGCTTCTTTTTTTTTAAAATTTAATTGAAGTATAGTTGGTTTACAATACTGTGTTAGTTTCAGTTGTACAGCAGCGATTCAGTTACATATATACAGATTTCAGATTCTTTTCACTATAGGCTATTACAAGATATTGAATATAGTTCCCTGAGCTACACAGTAAATCCTTGTTGTTTATCTATTTTATATACAGTAGCGTGTATCTGTTAATCCCATACTCCTAATTTATCCCTCCCCCAACGAACGGTTCTTGATAAAAGTATTTCATCTTTGTATCAAAGCACAAGGAACCTGTGACTACATCCTGGTGAGAACAAATCAGTCATTCACGTATCCATCAGTACACAAGTTATTTGGGCGTATAGAGGTTCCTACCTCCTGATTCTAGTGATCTGCCCTGGCCCAGGGAGTGAAATAAAATCTGTACTAACATCGGCACGGGCATGTCAAGGAGAAAAGGGAACTTTCCCAAGAGAATGATGTGTCTGTGTTAACACACTTACTCAGGTTTAAACCCTACAAGGAGGGAAAGCAGAACAATTTCTAAAATCCCTTCACCATACTGTACAGTTGACCTAAAACGCTGCTACTGAAGTGAGGACTGAATGCCCCTATGATGAACCAACAGTGCCATATCTGGGTGGCAGTGTAATTGCGTCTCAGCGAGCTGTCTGGAGTGTAGCCGGGTCCATGCAGTGCTGTAGCGGGACTGGACTGCATTCCGGAAAGCACGTGTGTCGTCTACAAGCTTAACTTATCAGTACATGAGCAACAATTCTGCCGGCAGCTTGAACTCCTACTAAAAACGAGGGCCGCACAGCCACACGGACGGGGGCAGCTGTCACAGGGGGCGCCCTTCCGGTGCGTGCCTCTGAAACACGGAGAGTCCAGCGTAAGGGTGCAGAGGGACTGGATTCGGGGGACGAGGGGAAGGTAGTGCGTTCCAAACAAACAGGATCTTTAAAAAATCAGCCACTGAATTACTTTTTTGATGTCATTAACTTTAGGTGACATTTTAAGGTATAAATAGCAAACGATAGTTGTAAAGTTTTCATTGAACCGAGTACATGGAAATGATGTGCAAAATTGAGGCAGGGAAGGCAGGGAACTGGTGGTATACACACGATGTAGAAGATCAGGAAAGCCAGTCAAAGGCTCCGTCTTCGTCCCCTGGCATCACAAAGGGCAGCCCGCCAAAGATGAAGGTGAGCTGTTAACAACTGCATAGAAAAGTAGCAATACTTTCTTTTGTGAATACTTGTCACTATTCTTTGTTCTGAATAAAGTCTTGAAAACTTTTTAAGGACCTGCAGTTTCTACGAGGGAATGAGGTTACGTGTGTGGTGAACACAGCGAAGTGGTCTCTGTGTTCATAGGTGGGCTCACCCACACCATCGCTTTCCCCCCCAGTCAGTCCTCCTCAAACTCTGCCACCCTCCATCCTGCCAGTCAGAAGGAACTAAACAAGCAAAATATAAGTATCTGAAATCATAGAACAGCCCAAGATCCACCCCTCAGTCAGCAGCATGAAAGAGACCATACACAGTATTAAAAAAAGAAACAAAAGCGCACGTTAACGGCCGAGTCATTCTTCCTTCTCCAAGTACGCTCTGAGCTGCCACGCATTCCTACACGAGATCGCATTCATGCACCGTGAGTCAGGAATCGCAGGGCGGGGATGGTGGCCATGCCCCTCACCCCTCTGCATCGCAGCTTCCTCGTCGACAAGGAGGACACGTTCTCCTACCAGGATTTTTAAAGCATTAAATATATACTAATTAAAATACTGGGGGAAAAAGACATAGTGTCCAGAAAGAGATGCAGGAACATACGGGGACTTAGTATATGGTAAAAGCGGGGAAGGAATGCATTCATCCAGGAGGCATCTTCCAGAGAGTGGAAGGCCCTCTCCTCAAGAAACAACCCTTTAACAGAAGAAGCCACGAAACAATCTTTTGCATTTTCTGGAAACTGACAAAAGCACACAGCTATGGAGAAAAATTGATTCAAAAAAATCTACTAAGTCCAGGGAAGAACGTCGAGAGTCAGAGGCACCCCTCAGCTCCCCGTCTCCATCTGATAGAAAGGATTCCAGAGAGCTCTCCTCCAGGCGGGTGCAGTCAACACAACAGGGGTGGTGGTGGATCCCCTGCCCCCAGCTCCCAGAAGCAGGGTGTAAGCTCTACCCCAGAGGCGGCAGGCTAAGACTTCCCCTGTGCTTGTAGAGCAGAAGGTCCACGCAGGGAGGGCAGGCCCAGAAGGAGTGTCACTCCGGGGAAACACTGCGCTGTCCCTGCTGTGCAGCGGCCCAGAGGTCCTCCCCAAAGGGAGAGGCAGGACGACGGCCGTGCCGAGGGGACTGACTGTATTTGCACCAGAGAGTGGAGAATTGCATGCCTCCCTGATTCCATTGCCAAGTTGCAGACAAAGTGGGGAGCGATCCCGAGGCCCCCAGCTCCGCGGTCACGCAGCAGAGAGTTCACTGGCAGAGCAACCGGAAGGTGAAGAGCCCAGAGCGCCCTCCTGAGGTCGCGGTCAGCCCCGAGGCTCAGGGAGGCCGCTGGCAAGCCCTGGAGTGCTCTGTCAGAGCAGGCTTGGGCCGACGCAGACACAGTCCCCACGCTGCACCCACGTCAACCCAAGGGCGCGAGCCCTGGTGGTGCTGGGGCTTTCGCGCAGCTGCTGACAAAACCCTGGCTGAATGATAAACTACCCTGACCCAAGAGCAGACCCCAGGAAGCCAGGCTTCAAAGTACAATGACAGGCATCCCCGGAAGTCCAGAGAGCCACACGCATGTCCAAGGTAGCCCTCTCAGGAGAGATGGGAGAGGGAAAACCCATATGCGCTAGTTCCCCGTTGCACGTGGGCAAAAATGTAAACCCCTGAACTGTGACAGCAGCCTACACACACACACACACACACACACACGCGTGTGCGCACGCACACACACACACACCACTCAATGGTCAAGGGCGAAAATCTGACTGGCCCAGGGGCTGAAACACAACCTCTGACCAACAAGTGACTTCTGCTGACCCAAGGGTAACCCCTAGGTAGTTGGGCTAAAAGATTCAAACAAGAAGATATCTGAGCAGGGAAACAGAGGCTGCACGGTGCAGGGAAATCGACTTCACACGTTAGCTCAGCCGAGTCACTCAGCACATAAACGAACGACTGAGCAAACGACATCAACCCCGGGGGGAGGAGCTGCTGTGATATATTATCTAAATGTCTAGCTTTCAACAAAAAACGACGAGACACACAGAGAAACAGGAAAGTGTGACCAATATACAGGGGGAAAGAGGAGGCAATAGAAACTACTTTTGAAGGGCCCAGATGCTGGACCTGGTGGACAAAGGCTTCTAGAGCAGGGAGAGCCGGAGAGCAGGGAACAGAGAATCTTACAAGTAGTAAACGCCCTGTAAATGCTCTTATTATCTTGCTCTAGAAACTGTGAGCCCTTTTAGAAGCGTTGGCCCTTAAATCACCAGGGACCACGCCCAGGCTCCACTTCACCCCTGTGGCTCTGCCCTGGCCAGCGGGGCCTGCTCACGGCCACGGCACAGTGGGCTCCCTGGCACCGCGGTAAGTGCTCTGTGAAGTTCACGAGCAAGCCCAGAGGCGGCTGTGTTCCAAGGGACTCGGGGGATTGGACAGACTGGACAGTGCCTGTTCACAGGAGGTTCTTGTCTGGTTGACAACAGACGTAAGCTCAGCAGAGAAATTGCCAGTTAGCCTGGGCCAAGGGCGGCGAGTCTCCTAAGTGCCCGGAGAGCCCTGCCCCAGCCTCTTCCACAGACTGGGTTCCTGGAGACCAAGGCACTGGGGCTCAGCTTGTCTTTGTGTCCTCAGAGGCCGGCATGTATAAGGGGCTTAACAAACGCTTCTATGTGCAAGAACGTTTACAGCAGCATTGCTTCTAACAGCACAAACATGAAAACAAGAGAGTAAAAGTGGGCTTCCCTGGTGGTGCAGTGGTTAAGAATCTGCCTGCCAATGCACAGGACACGGGTTCGAGCCCTGGTCCAGGAAGATCCCCCATGCCACGGAGCAACTAAGCCCGTGCGCCAAAACTACGAAGCCTGTGCTCTAGAGCCTGTGCTCTAGAGCCTGAGCTCAGCAACAAGAGAAGCCACCGGAATGACAAGCCCTCGCACCGCAAGGAAGAGTAGCCCCCGCTCGCTGCAACTAGAAAAAGCCCGCGCGCAGCAATGAAGACCCAATGCAGCCAAAAATGAATGTAAATAAAATAAATTAATTAAAAAAAAAGAGTAAAAGCAAGGAAATGGAGAGTAAAAATAGGGCTATCCTATTAGGTTAGCGTTTTAATTTTAATTTTTTAAAAATATTATCTTTCCATTTTTGCATGAGTAGTAATTGTCAAGAATATTTATTTATTTATTTATTTGGGCCACGCCACACGGCAGGCGAGATCTTAGTTACCCCACCAGGGATCAAATCCGTGCACCCTGCAGAGGAAGCACGGAGTCTTAACCACTGGACCGCCAGGGAATTCCCACGTTAGAGTTTTTAAAAAAAATTTTTTTTAATTGAAGTAGAGTTGATTTACAGCATTGTGTTAGTTTCAGGTGTACAGTAAATTGATTCAGTTATATCAGACATATATTTTTTCAAATTCTTTTCCATTATAGGTTATAACAAGATATTGAATATAGTTCCCTGTGCAATATGGTAACTCCTTGCTGTTTACATTCCATACATAAGTGAGATGAGTATTTGTCTTTGATGTATTTCTTTTTTTTAAAAAATTGAAGTAGAGTTGATTTACAATGTTGTGTTAGTTTCAGGTGAACAGCAAAGTGATTCAGTTATATGTATATATATATAAAGTTAGAATTTTAAAAATCATGTTTTTGAAAATGTGTGGATATGGGAAGATGCTAGGAATAAATGAAACGGCAAAGGTTACAAAACAATATAAATATGATCTCAAGTTTTAAAAAGCATATGAAAAAAAAAGATGCATTGAAAAAAGGTCGGAAGGAAATACACCAAACGTTAACTGTGGTTTTCTGTAGGCAGTTAGATTATGGGTAATTGATTTTCTCTACTGGGCATGAATAACATTTATAATAACAATATGAAAAGTTGAAGGAGCAGTAACTGAGGCCACTGTAGACGGGCAGGCCTTCCAGATGAGGCAGGACTTGGTGCCTTGAGGGACAAGTAGGAAACTTTCAGCAGCTCCAGTGGCAGCAGCACTGAGCCCCTGCTTGGGGTAAGCTCTGTACAGCCATGCTGGGTACTGCCATCTCTGGGAGAAGGAAGCAAAGTGAGCCAGGTTCCCTTTGTCTGGAGCCCTCCAAAGGCTTCCCACTGTGGCCCGAATAAATTCAAACTCCGTGCATGGCCTGCAAGGCTCTCCATGGTCAGGCCCGTGGCTCCATTCCATCCACACCCATGCCCTTGAGGAGATTCCAGCAAGCTTTCTTTCAGGCCCTGGAACCACTGCACTTTCCCACCCCAGGACCTTTGCACCTGCTGGTCCCACTGGTCTCTGATCTTTACCAGACTGCCTCCTTCTCATCAGTGACATCAGGACACTCCAACTTCTCAGAGTGGCTGTTCCTGGCACCCAGTCTAAAGCAGCCTCCCCAATCCACCTCCGTCACATGGGCTGTTTTATTTTCTGCAGCGCACTTTCCACTTTCTGACTTGATGGACATGATCTGTTTTTTTACCTTGTTCTCCCCCACCCCACCCCACGCCACTGGAATGCAGTTTATTCATCCACAATAATGTCTCCAGCAGATGGTTGGCGCGCCAGAAACACTAGGTAAACCAAGTCCCCCGCCCTGGAGGCACGGGGTGGGCGGACACTTACGCAGTGAGCTCTGTCACCCGGCGGACAGCGGTCGCTGGCTCGGCACTGGCCCGGCTTCGCAGGCGCCGAGCAGCGAGGGCGCAGTGTCCGGGAGGGCTTCCCGGAAGCGACGGCCGGTGCAAGGACGAGCGGGGGACTAGAGGTGGCTGGAGGCTGGGCGAGGGGCGGCGACGCTCGGCCAGCCGCACGCGGGCGGGGGCCGGAGGCCCGCTCTTATGCGGTAACAACAATGGCAGCTGTCACCGGCGGTCGCCGGCCCCGCGCCCCCTTCCTCCAGCCCGCGCCCCGGCGAGGGGAGGCAGCCAGGGGGCCTCTCCGCCCTCCGCGCTTACCATCTCCGAGGCCGGCTCCCCGGTGCTCAGGGACATGGCGGCGGCGCTGCCCGATCGCCCCTAGGCGCTGCGAGTACGGCCGTCCGGTTCTGGGGCTCCGCCGACCGCCAGCCTCGGGGCCTGCCCGCGCGCCCGCCGCGACCCCGCTGCCATGGCAACCGCGCGGGCCCCCGAGCCCCGGATGTGGCCGGCGCCCCGCGAAGCGGGCCGACAGTAAGCGTGCTCTGGGAGCCCCGGCGGATCGACAGGCTGCGCGCCCAGAGTGTGAGGCGGAGAGCGGGGCGGAGCTGGAACAGTCCAGCCGCCGCCGACGCTGCAATGTGAACCTGTGCACTAGTCACCAGAGCCGGATAGTAATATTTATTAGGTTAACGATGAAAGGGACAAGGGGCTTCTGCGGTGTCCGGTCTGCCAGCTCTGAACGCCTGGCATTCGGAAAACCATCTTCCTGATCTCGGTACCTTAGGCTCAAGGGTTCTGATGTAGCCACAGGACAATAAAAAATAAGAGTTTGCACTCTCTGTATTCAGTGTGCATCATGAAGATCTTTAGGCGAGTTGGGCTGCAAAGTTTATTTAAATTATTAGCAAGTATAACCTGCCCTTTCTTTTCATACAAGGGCATCTACTCTGTCCCCCTGCCCTGCTTTATTTTTCCAGCCCCCTGGCCTTTATGATCTACAAGAACTTCCCATGTCTAGCATGTAAGCTCTCTGGGGCAGGGCTGTGTTTTGTTCACGGCTGTATCTCTCTCCTTTGGAACAGGGTCTGGCACATAGCAGGTGCTCAATCAATAGGTATTTGGTGCCCGGCAAGTCATAACTTCTCTGTGCCTGTGTCCTCAAATAGAAACTGGAGAAAAGCGTTGTGGTGAGGAGCAAATGAGTCAGTATCTCTAAACCGCTTAGTGCAGCTGCCGGCTCCAGAGTGAGCGCAGTGTGACCGTGTTAGTACACTGTTATGAGGTGAACAAATGAATGAGTCTCCACACAGGGTAGCGTGGTGTAGCAGGAGGAATGCCTGGCCGGTTATTACTGTTCGAATTCTAACACCACCAATTATTATGAGTCCATGACCCTCGTTTCTTCGGTCTCCTCATCTGTACGACAAAGGGGGTGAGTCACACGGTGGTCGGACGCTGTCTCCCCACAAGCTGGTTAGTGCTCAGGAGCACAGGTTTAGTAGTTTCACCATCGTCTCCTTGTCTGCAAAGTAGAAACAGTTTCAGGGCTTTTGTGAGCACTAAAGGAGAAAACAGCTAAAATTCAGCATGGTGCCTGGCACATGGTGAGCACCTCAAAAAAACAAGCTACCAGGTAACGCTTTGCCGCTGGTCCAATTACTTGAATGGTATTTTAAATGGCAAAATTTTATTTGTTCTGAAATTATCCCCTTCACTCATTGGCGCTCCTCTGCTCTGTGAAGCCCTGTTTCTGGAGTGGTGTCAGGTACAGTCTGTACCCCAAGTTCTGGTTCCCTATTTACACCTTCCCTGATGGATCCTAAAAGAAACCACATGCTCTCCTCTGAGCTGCCACCAGAGTTGTTTATAAAAGGTGAATCTTACCAGGCCTCTCACCTTCTTAACTTCTATCTGCTTCCTCGGGGTATTGTTCACGTGGCAGACAAGTGCTTTCAGGATCTAACCTACCTATGCGCCAGTATCTCTTGCTCCTCTCCTGGGGCTCCGCAAACCCCCTGCCCTTCCTGCATCTGTTGTTTCACTTACTTTCTCTTAGTTACAGACGGTTCCAGAATTTCCATGCTTCCACTTACAGTGTTTTGACTTTACAATGCTGCAAAAGCAATACATGTTCAGTAGAAACCGTACTTCAAATTTGGAATTTTGATCTTCTCCCATGCTGCCGATATGCGGTAGGTAGGATCCTTTCTCATGACGCTGGGCTGCGGCGGCGAGCCGCAGCTCCCAGACAACCACGCAATCACAAGGGTAAAAAACCATCCACTTACAACCATTCTGTACCCAGACAACCATCCTGTTTTTCACTTTCAGTACAGTATTCCATCAATTACATGACATATTCACCGCTTTATTATAAAATAGGCTTTGAGTTAGATGATTTTGCCCAACTGTAGGCTAATGGAATTGTTCTGAGCAAGTTTTAGGTAGGTTACGCTAAGCTATGATGTTGGGTGGCTTAGGGGCATTAAATGCATTTTGGATTTACAAACGGGATGAAACCCCATTCCGAGCGGAGGAAGATCTGTCTACTACGCGGCTGGCGCTTTGCTTCGCTTGCCCGCCCGCCCAGACACGTGGTCCTTTGGCCGGCGAGGCCACGCCCCTTCACGCATAGCCACGCCCCTTCCGCCGAAAGCCCTGCCTTCCGGGCGCAAAGCCTGCCGGATCCTCGAGCACGTACCTGTGAGCGTCTCGCTGGGGGTGGGTGAGTGGATTCGTTCGGCGGCGGCCTGTCCTTCTCAGCCTGAGCTCGTTCCCCGAGCCTGGGCCCTCTGGGCTCTCGGAGTCACCGCCAGGGCGATTTCACGGTTCCCCACGCCCGCCGTTCCCGTCCTCGCCCCCTCCAAGCCCGGCAGGTCGCACGGTACGGGGCGGGGCCTGCAGCGGTGACGGACGCGAAGCTGGTGAGGCGCGCGCCAGGGAAGGGGTCGCGGTCGCTGTGGCGGGCCCCGCGGGGTCGGGGTTCGGGGCCCGGGACCAGGGCCGGAGAGCAGCCTGGGGGCCGCGTGCGTGGCCCAGGCTGGGCCCCGGCACCACCGCGGCCGCCGGCCTGGCGTCCTCAGCGGGGTCCACAGGGAGGGCGCCTTGCGCAAGGACTTAGCCTGGCCAGGGATGGACAGACAGACGCCCCAGCCCAGGCAGGCCTGCTCCTGACCCGGCACACAGAGTCACTGGCCACCCCACCCCCCTGCAAGAGCCCTCCCTGAGTACAGGACCGACGGGCTCCCTGGACCCTTCCCAGGCCGGACACGCAGGTCCAGTTGCCGCCCCGGGAGGAACCGGCAGTGGGCAGGGCGCCTCCCTCCCCCCCCCGCGCCCCGCACACTGCTGCTGTAGGGTTTTCACACTGACCCTGGGAGGGACAGACACACACCGCCAGTCTGGACTGAGCCGCTTACAACTCGTCCTGAGCCGCTCTGCCTCCTACACGTGGCCGGCCCCAGAGCGCGCACACGCCCCTCGCTCTGGCCCGCCTGCAGCCTCGCTCAGCTTCATGCTCCCTTCGTTCTCCCCTCCCACCAGAGTCCCAGGTTGGCCGACTTTGAGCTGCTCAGGCCTCATGCTGTACTTTAGATTCCCTTCCGTCTCCACCGCCAGAATGGAGGGCTCTGCTTGCTCTTGACAGTCTCCGGTCCCACCTGAGCTGAGGCTTTACATCCATCCCGGCAACTTGCAGTTTCCGTCTGAAGATTGTGGTCACCTGGGCCGAGGTGAGAGTTCTGGGGCCTGGGCGGGCATGGGGACTGCCTGTGGCTAGGGCAGGTGGGGTCTGGCCCTGACAGTGCCTTTGCAGGAGCCCCAGCCTCGTCATGGACCCAGAGTGCTCCCGGCTCCTCCCTGCGCTCTGTGCCGTCCTGGCAGACCCCAGGCAGCCTGTGGCAGATGACACTTGTTTGGAGAAGCTGCTGGACTGGTTTACAGCGGTAACCGAAGCAGGTAAGGGTGGGGGTGCCGCTGCTGACTTTCCCCGGAGGCCAGAGGGTGCCGGGCTCCCCTGTCCTCGGGAAGGACTGTCTATCCGGTGTCCTTCGTTCATACCTTAAAGATTCCCCCTGGCTTTGGGGACACGGCAGGCTGAACCTAAGGGGATGATCAGGAGAGCTTGAGCTGCAGGCCGCCTGTTATTCAGGCCACGCTAGGTGGCTGCCGAGGCCACGGGACAAACTTACCTTGTTTTTTTTTGTTTTAAGAAATCGGTTTTTCTTTCTGATTATGTAAGTAATGCATACTCTTTAAATAAAGCTTGAACAGCACAGAGGAGTAAAGAGGAAGGTTAAACCACTCCGAACATTTTTTTCTTTCCAGCCTTTTTTCTTAACACATCATAATTCTGTACTTTTCTTATAAAAATGAGGTCACACCGTAAATACAACATATCTTGCTTTTTCTCTCTTACTGTCCTAGTGGGTGTTTTCCCCACTGACACGTTGATTTTATTGACCGTATGTCAGTTTGCTCTGTGAATGGACGTTAATTTTACAATTAGTCCACTGTTGTTAGATGTCTGTGTTTCTAATGTGTCATTATTATAAATAACGACATAATGGCTTTCTTTGTACATAAGTCTGCTCATGTAAATGTTTGTCTGATAATTGTTGTAGTGTGGATTACATGTCATAAATTTCTGCCGTTTGTTTCTTTGGTTTACCCTGTTCTTTTACTCTCTTTTGAGTTGAATATCTAGGTCTGTCTGGTTTTCTAATAGATGCATTTAAGGCTACACATGTCTCTGCAGGTATCACTTTAGCTGCACCCTGCAAGTCTTACTATGTGGTGCTTTTGTTGTGATTTGCTTCCAGATATTTCATACTTTTCATTATAATATTTCTTTATCCACAAATTATCAATATTTAGAAGGGTATCTTTAGATTCATGACATGGGGTTTTTTTCAGTCTTTTTACTACTGATTTCTAATTTATTTGGTTGGAGTTAGAAAGTATTTGTATGTTGATTCTTTTATATCTGTTGAGGCTTTTATCGTGGTGTAGTACACAGACCATTTTTGCACATGTTCTATAGATTTCTCTATAGGATATTATTTTTTGGTATTTATAGAGTCCTCAATTGTGGCCTAGTAGTTAAATTTTAAAAAAAATCTTTTTAATTGAAGTATAGCTGATTTACAGTGTTGTGTTAGTTTCTGGTGTACAGCAAAGCGATTTGTTTTTTTTTGTATATATATACACACACACTTTCAGAGTCTTTTCCATTATAGTTTATTGCAAGATATTGACTCTAGTTCCCTGTGCTATACAGTAGAACCTTGTTGTTTATTTTATATATAGTAGTTTGTATCTGCTAATCCTAAACTCCTAATTTATACCCTCCCCTTCCCCTTTAGTAACCATAAGTTTGTTTTCTGTGGCTGTGAGTCTGTTTCTATTTTGTAAATAAGTTAATTTGTATCATTTTTTTTTTTAGATTCCACATATAAGTGATAGGATATCTGTCTTTCTCACTTCACTTAGTATGATAACCTCTAGGTTCATCCATGTTGCTGCAAATGGCATTATTTTCCTTTTTTATGGCTGAGTGATAGTCCATTCTGCACACACACACACACACACACACACACACACCCCACATCTTTATCCATATCTGTCACTGGACACTTAGGTGGCTTCCATGTCTTGTATGGATGTTGTAAATAGTGCTGCGATGAATTTTGGGGTGCATGTATCTTTTCGAATTATGGTTTTCTCCAGATATGTGCCCAGGAATGGGATTGCTGGATCATATGGTAACTCTATTAAAAATTATTTTTAAATAGCTTTATTTGAGATATGATTTACATATCATGAAATTGATCTATTTAAAGTGTGTAATTCAGTGGTTTTTAGTAAATTCACACAGTTTTGCCACCATCCAAAGGTTAATTTTGCAACATTTTCATCTCCTTAGAAGAAACCTGGTATCCATTAGCAGTTAACCTCTTCCCTCCTCCCCCAGCCTGTATGTATTTTCCTCAGTGTTGTACATGATGAAAAGAATATAGTCTCCATACTTGCTCCTTAGTTCAAGTTTACGTTGTTAAAACCTGTGATGTTCTTGCTAATTTGTTTGCTTAATTGTTTTTGAGAGATATGTGAAAATCTTAAACTAAGGTGGTGGATTCAACAATTTCTGTTTGAAATTCTGTCTTTTTTCCCCCTTAGTATATTTTGAAGTTAGGTTAGGTATGTACAGTCTTAGACTGTTATATCTTCCAGGGTTTGGCTGTTTGAGCAATGACTTTCTTTCTAAAGCTGTGACAGAGCTTTTTCCTTTAAAGTCAGTTTTGTTTGATATTACTCTTTCTGCAGCAGCTTTTTAAAAATTAGAATTTGCCAACTGTATCTTTTCAGCCTTTACAAATCTGGCCTTCTGTGTTGTCACGCTTCATTGTTTCTTACACACAGTGTGAGGCTAGCCTTTGGTTCTTGATCTAGTCTGCACAGCTCTTTATTCTAATGGACAGTTTCATTTGTTGAGTTTACTGTTACGTTTGAACCTATTTTTATTATATTCTTTTGCATTTAAAACATTTTTTCCATGCCTTGTTGTTGTGCCTTTTATCTCCTTTTCTGCCCCCCCATTGGATTAATAAAGCTTTTGTTTTTTCAGTCTTTCTGGTTTTGAAGTGAAGTTTTGAAGCATTCCACTTACGTTTTTAGGGGTTAGTCTTACGTGCAAACTGGATTGTAAAAGTTGAAAGTCAGTTACAATCTTTGTCTTCTGCGCCAACCACACACGGAGCCTTGGGCACTTTAACTCCAGCTCAGTCCAGTCTTCCGTGTTTTGGTGTCTGGTATTCTGATTCTGTTTTGTTTTAAACTCCTTCAAAAGTTACTTAATTTTTAAAGTCAGTGCTTTTTTAGGTTTGCCCACGTGTTTTTGGTTTCTTTGATTCTTGCTTCTCTCTCCTTCACCCTGTTTTTCCCTCCTTACTGTGCCTCATTGTCCTTTCACAAGGGCCTCGCAGTGGAAGCCCTCCCAGTGTTGCCCCAGGTTTCCTCCCCCTTCGCCTCCCCCACCCCGTCAGTGCTTTGGAATGACAGAGCAGTTGCCTATAGACGTTTTAGATGCCACATCTGGAAAAGAATGCCTGTTCCATTGTGCTTCTCGCTTTCGTATTCTCAGTTTAAGAGAAAAGTATCCACTGGAGAGGTGAAAATTGTCTTCTGCTTTAATTTGCATTTCTTTTTCGTAATCAGCAAGGCAGAATATCTTTCGTGGTTTGCTGGCCGTTTGTATATTCTGTCCCAGTCCCTTGCCTGTTGTTAAGGTGTTGGCTTTCTGATTTGTCCCCCTCATTGAATTAAAGTTATGGATCCTTCGGGGCAGTTGTTGCAACGATTTCCCCCGGTTGGACTGCTGAGTCTAATAGCCTGAGAGAACGGGAGTCTGGGGGTTGCCAGAAGAATGGTCCCTTAGGGAGGCATGCGCTGTGCCCCTGGTAACATGCTTCCCGGCTGGGCCTGTCTCCAGGGTCCAGTCTCCTGTTACTACAGGAAAATCCCTGCCTGGTAGAGCTGCTGTTCCACGTGTTGAAATCCCAGGACCTAAGTTCCAGAATCCTCTCCTTCTCACTCCGCCTCGCAGGGATATTTGCAGCCCAGGAAAACTGCTTCCAGTATCTTCAGGTGAGCCTGGGTCCTGCCACCTGAGTGACCCACCTTCTCCTGCAGGTACACAAAGCACTGGTGGCTGTCATGACCCCTGAGTCTCTGAAGCTTGTTTTGCCGCCGTGTCTTGACATGTACCGCAAGGTTTTTATTCCTGAGTATAGTTCTCCTTTGAAGAACTGACCAGGAATGATGTTGGGGTGAACGGTGAACATTTTAAAATACGGCAGAGCTGGGGCTGGCCCTCTGCCCTGGCGCCGCCCTTCATGGGTGTTCCTCAGTTCAGCAGTGCAGGCTCCAGGGACCCAGCCCACACCAGCTCGCTGTGGGACAGGCTTCCCGGGAAATGACTTCATGTGTGACAGTCCGCCCATACCTCTGGTGCTTTGCAGTCGGTAGAACACCTCAGTTTACAAAGTCACATTCATGTTATCCTGGGCGCCCTGGCAGTAAGCAGGTCAGGAGTCTTCATCTTTCTCCTGGACTAGGAGACAGTGAAGGCTCAATATGAGAATCCCACAGAGCTGGCAGAGCTCACACTAGACCCTGAAGAGTCGCACTGTTCGAATGCTCTGTTACACCACCTGTTTCTCTGAAAGTAAATCCTCAGTCCCAATCAGATGGCCTTCCCCAGCTTCATTGATTTCCTGAGTACTTCCCAGTTCCCGCCTCTACTTCTCCATGGCCTCCTCTTCCTTCCCAAGGTTGACCATGGCTTTAGAGGCTTAGAAGGCCACTGACTCCCCTTCAGTCTGGTGGTCGGCCCCCTGCACGTGGGGACGAGGGACATGGGCAGGTTCGGGCTCTGAGTCGCAGTGGAAGGTTGCTTTCTGTCCTGGGCCCGTGGCACTGGCTTGGGCTCCTGTTCCCTTTTCACCTGGCCCTTCACAGCCTCCCAGGGGGTCTGGCAGCCCTAAGGGCCCTTCAGCAGCCGGATGCTCACCAGTAGACGGTGCCTGGGCAGCGGACATGTGGACAGACTACCTGAGGCAGGGGGCTGAGCCTTTGTACCTTCCCATTGGCTGCGAGCTGCCCCCAGGGAGAGGCTGCAGCTCTGGGGGCGCATTTCGGTGATGCGAGATCCCACAGAGGGCCTGCCCTGTGAGCTGCCGCCTCCAGCAACACCCCTCAAGGCCTCGAGGCCACTGCGGAGTTAGAGTCATACTTGAGTGATTGGAAGTGTGTCTCCGAGGCCCTGTGGTCCCTTACCCTGGAGTCTGAGATGACTTGAGGGTGGGGACCAGCATTTTATTGTCAAGATAGACGAGGCTCAGAGCTAGCAGCTACACCAGTGAGGGGCTCCGTTGGTAAGAGGCAGCCCCCGAGTTTCCCACTCATTGGCACCCTGTAGTGAACAAGCACCTTGTGCACGTGGCAGCAGATCAGGACAATGCGTTATTGTCCTGTGGACGTCCACGAGCAGGTGGGGATCGAGCGGGGAGTTAGCCATGCCTGCTGACGGGGCGGGGTGGTCAGCTTCGTAGGGGCAGTGGTCTTGCAGCCGGGTTGTAAGGGGTTTGAGCAGGTGTATGGGGGGGTGTGCTGGGGGATCCAGGGTAGGGGACACCTGGAGGAGGGCAGCTGCCCTGGAGGGCCCCGAGTGCCAAGCACAAGAGCCCAGTAGGCCGTGGAGACCTTTGGGGCCCTTGAGCGCAGCGTGTCATAGTCAGAGGGGGGCCGTTGGCGTTGCAGTTGGTGGGCTGTTTGGGGGAAGGGTTTCTGAAGTGAACTGTGACAGGGTTGATGAGGCTTTATGTAAAACCCAGTTCTCCCTAACGAAATTCTCTCCCCTGGAAGGCACAGTTGGCAGTGCTGTGGCTGCCATCGGTCTGCTCTGGTGGCCACCTGCCACCTCTCACAGGCTCTTTGTGTCGGCCGCTCACAAGAAATTCCCCCAAAGAAGTGCCTCGACCAGCTGTGAACGATAGAAAAGCCATCTCTGATGTGGGGTCCCCTGGGAACTTGCTCAGGTCCCCACTTCCTTCTCTGCTTCCCAGCAGGGGGAGCTGCTGCCCATGCTCTTTGGGGAGGTGGGCCCCCTCGGAGGAGCGGCCTGGACGGCCCCTGCTGTGCGCAGCGGCTGGATCCAGGGCCTGCGCACCCTGGCACAGCATCCTAGCGCCCTGCACTTCCTCGCCGCCTGTGGTGAGTGCCCCCGTCTGCCTTGCCTTCCGCCTCTGCCCTTGCCGTGCCTGATGCTCTGCGACTCCTGGGAAATCACCGCACCTTGCTGGGTCTCTTCCTCTGAACATGAAAGTGGCTGTGGTATCATAGAGCTGTTGTGAGGAACATTCGGGGTAACCAAGGGTTGGAGGACCCTCAAGGGTGTATGGTGTCCTGTGGCTTGTAGGTGAGACCCAGCAGTTGGGGTGGCTTTGAAACTGACGAGAAGAATCCCAAGTGGCCAGGGTTCTAAAGCCCCTCGCCCTGTGAACCCTCCATTCTGATTCCATTGCCTCTGAGTAGCGGGGAGGCTGGGCCTCTGACAGTGCCTCCGCATTGGGTGGTTTCCGAGTTCTGTCCGTGAGGGTCTGAAGTCCAGTGGTTGAAGCTGCTCGGTGGTTTCCGAGTTCTGTCCGTGAGGGTCTGAAGTCCAGTGGTTGAAGCTGCTCAGTGGTTTCAGCGTCTCTGCTGTCACCATGGACTCTGTTCCAGCTGAACCCTGTTTCTCTCCCCACCCGTTGTCCCTCCCCGCCCCCCAGGTGCAGTTGACACCATCTTCTCCCTGCAGGGAGATCCCAGCCTGTTTGTGGCCTCGGCAGCCGGGCAGCTCCTGGTGCACATTCTAGACTTGGCGATGCGGGGCCCAGCCGAGGGCCGCCGCAGTCCGCAGGCTTGTGACTGGCCAGCATGTGCCCAGAAGATCGTGGGTCACATCGAAGACTCCCTGTGCTCCACAGCCATCCCGCAGGTCACACAGGCCCTGAGTGTCCTGACCACTGCGTTCGGGCACTGCCACGGCCTTTGGACGCAAGGCCTTTGGGTGCGGCTGAGCCCCCTCGTGGCCCGCCTGCTCGAGAAAGACCCTGTCCCAGCCTCACACTCGCTCGTGGATCTCCTCCTCAGCGTGGCCCGGTCAGGCCCCCAGGGCGCAGCTGGTGGGGTGGGTAGGAGGTGGGGCTTGTTTTCTTCGGGAAGTCTTGGGGCAGCCATCACACCTGGGCCACATCTCCCTGGCTGCCCGAGAACTCTGCCTCGAGCAGAGGGGACACCAGAGGGGGTCTGGAAGCCCGCACACCTGGGAAAGGCCTTCCGTCTCAGCCGGCACACCCGGCCCAGGCCACGGCGGCCCCCTGGGCACGGTGTGGGCTGGACGGGGGAATGACGTTCTCTTCCTGGGCTCCTCCTCTGCAGTTCTGCGCCGAGCTCTGACCGTGGCCTGTGGGAGACTCTGGCCCAGACTCTGAGCCACTTGAGCCCCACACAGGCAGGGCCTCTGGCTTTGGGGATCCTGAAACTGCAGGACTGGTAAGGATTGGGGTTCATGTTGTGTGAGGCAGGCAGAGAGGTCAGGGAACTTCAGGGGAGCTCCTGAAACCAGAGATCAGTCAGAGGCGGCTGGCTGGGGCGTGGCCGGGCAGTACGTGGGTTATCACCAAGGTGTTGGCACAGGCTCCGGCTTCTACATTTTTTAGTGGTGGAATAGCTTTATTCACAGGCTCCCCAAAGATAAAAGAGACTCTTGGAGCAGCCCTGCTCAGAGCAGGGCTGGGTTCATACTCAGGACCTGCTCAGCTGCCTTCTGCCACCTCCCCAGTGGCCTCACCTTGTGGATCCTGGGCCACCCCGTGTGCATGCCACTGTGGGGGGGGCGTACTAGGGGCTGTGGGACGGTGGAGGGGGACCCAGTAGGCAGGAGTGACAGGACAGATTCCCAGAGGGAGAGAGATGTGCGCCCTACCAGGAAGGGGGTGTGGCGTCCGGAGAGGTGGGAAGGAAGAGAAATCATTCCAGGGTTTCGGGCGGACTAGAGCCGGTCTTGGCCCAGGTCTGGGGTGAAAATGGGCACAGGGCGCTGGGGATACGATGCAAGCCTGGCTCTGGGCTCCAGGGTCTCCAGATGTTCAGAGAGAGGGAGTGGTCTGAAGGGAGAGGGAAGGATTGGGCAGCTGGCTTGGAGGGAGAGCTCTGTACCAGCTTGGCCTCCCAACCACCCTGGGCCCAAGCACGTCGGCGAGAGGCGAGACCATGTTCTGGAACGTCGGAAAGGATATCTCAGCATTGGGAGTACTTCCAGGAGCTGGGGCATCCCATCCCTTTGGCCCTGAGCAGGCACCGCCCATCGGAGTGGGTGTGGCCAGGCCTTCCCCAGGCTCTTCCTGGGGCCTGGGTGGCGCCCTCGTAGCTCCTTCGAGTCCCCTGCCAGTGGTGTGAGTGCTGGTCACAGTGCTTACAGGGAGGCTGTTTCTCAAGGGGGTGTCCAGATCCCCAGCACTGACCCCTTTGGCCCAGACTTGCTGGGGATATTAGGAGGGTAGCCAGCTTGCCTGAGGGCGGGGGCAGCCCTCACCGTGTCCTCTGTCCTCAGTCCACAGGCGCTGAGGACCCAGGCCTTTGGCATCCTCCTCCAGCCCCTGGCCTGTGTCCTGGAAGCTGCTGCTCAGGCCCCTGGACCCCCAGGTAGGCTGCTTGGGAACGGTGGGCAGGTGCAGGAAGGCAGGACCCTGGGGTCCTGAGAATGTCCTTGGGGCCAGGGTGGGCTGATGGGCAGCGGGGCACCTGGCTTGCCACCCCACCTAAGAGTGGAGGTGGCTGCGGTGTAGCCTGCCGTCCCAGGTGTGACTGCTACTCACGTCCCCGCCTGGGAGTTCATAGGGCAGCATTGCCCCCTGTGGGCATCAGCTGGAGTGGCCCCCAGAGCAGCTGACCCGGCAGTTGGTGGTGGTTACCGGGGGCCTGGGCTACGTGGATGGTTCCTGACCCAGAGCGGGCACACGGGCTTGGCACTCATCCTCCCAGAAGGTCAGTTCTGTGATGGGAGAGTGAGTTTCCTCGCTGAGACTTGTCTTGCTTCAGCCGCACAATGGGGTGAGGATTAGAGAAGGGGGGCCAGCTGTGCCTCGGAGCCCCATGTTGAGCGTAGAGATGGGCCTCTGACCGGCGGAAACCGGCCCAGGCATGGGCTGCAGGGAGAGTGGGACTGCTCGAGAGCCCTGCAGACAGGTTCAGACCTCAGCTCCGGCCGGCTGGACGCCACCCTGGACGAGCCAGCTGCTCGGAACCTCCGGGCCTGGTCTCTGGTATGAAGCAGTGACCAGCGGCAAGGCCTGCAGTGGCCACACAGGAGGTGCCCGCTAACCAGGAGCTGTTTCTGGTCGCCCTCTAGGCTTGCTGGAGGGGGCTGCAGGTGACTCGATGACGGTGGACACGCTCCTCTCCTCCAAGTCGGCCTGTGTGGGTCTCCTGTGCTGTGCTCTGGCCCACCTGGGGCTGCTGCAGCCGCTGGTAGGTACGGCCCGGCCCAGTCCACACTGGCAGTGGGACTTGTGGCCTGCATTGACCTTCCGTCCTCCCCCAGCCCCAGCGGCCCTCGCCCTGGCCACAGGCGCCCCTGCTTGGGGCTGCGGTGACAATACTGCGGCTCTGCAGTGGCTCGGCGGCCCCCACCTCCGACGTGGGCGGCCGTCTCTGTGCGATCCTGGTGGGCTGTGGCCGGGTCCAGCGAGCTGCCCTGGATTTCCTGGGGGCGCTGTCTCAGGGGACCGGTAAGTGAGAATGTTTTCTCTTGCACAGCTCGGGTGTTGGGCGAGCCCCACAGCTGCTCAGAGGTGTCCCAAGACTGCTGTCCTCTGCATGTCTCCTCTGGGGCAGGGGCTGGGATTCAGCTGACCGATGGGTTCTGTCCCCTGTTTTCCTTGGGTTGCCACACTTGTGGGCTGGGGAGGCCCCAGGGTAGGAGGTTGGGTGCTTCAGCCATCCACGTCTGTCTCAGGCCCTCAAGAGTTGGTGACGCAGGTGTTTTCCGTCCTCCTGGAGTACCTCGTGAGCCCTGAGTCCAGCTCCATGGTACACACACAGGGTGCAGGGTGGAGGGAAGGGGAGGGGGAGGAAGGCAGAGGCAGGGCACCCCTGCAGGCCTCTCTGGGGCCAGAATTGCCTCTTTTTTTTTTTTTTTTAATAATTAATTTTAAAATTTTGGCTGTTGCTGCACGCGGGCTTTCTTTCTCTACTTGTGGCGAGCAGGGGCTACTCTTAGTTGCGGTGCATGGGCTTTTCATTGCAGTGGCTTCTCTTGTTGTGGAGCACGGGCTCTAGGTGCAGTGGGCTTCAGCAGTTGTGGCTCGCAGGCTCAGTAGTTGTGGCTCGCGGACTCTAGAGCACAGGCTCAATAGCTGCGACGCACGGGCTTAGTTGCTCCACGGCATGTGGGATCTCCCTGGACAAGGGCTCGAACCCGTGCCCCCTGCATTGGCAGGCGGATTCTTAACCACTGCGCCACCAGGGAAGTCCCCAGAATTGCTTCTTAAAGTGAGTTTCAAGGGGCAGGCAGCTGCACAGGGTTTGGCCCAGGGCCTGGCATTGGTGGAGATTGAGCGAGGGGTCGTCGGGCTGTGGAAAGCAGGGAGAGGATCCAGTCTTACAGGGAATTCTCCATGAGAGTTGTAAACCAGAACCAGGTGGGCCTTACGCTTGGGGTCCCAACTCTCATTGAGGTTTCCTGCAAATCTCCCTGTTCTCGTAGCCCCGGGGTTGAGTCATGCTCTGGGGGTGCAGGAATAGCATGCGTACTGAGCAGGCAGGGGGGAGATGGGATGATAAGCCTGGCAGATTCCGGGGCTTTCAGGAAAAGGTGCCGTGGGTAGTTCCTGCTGTTTCGGTGCAGAAGTTTCATTTCCTCGGTAGTGGGGCTTCCTGACAAGAGCTGGCCTCTCCTTTTCTCTCTCTCTAGTCTTGGATGCCAGTCGGCCACTTCCAGAGGCTTCTGCCTCATAAAAATGAAGTCCGGTGTTCCCTGTCCCCATGTATCCCGTCCCCATCTTACACCCCAGGGCGGGGAAGGGGGCAGGCGGGCCAGCTCACCCCTCCTGGCCCTGCAGCCCCACTCTTCCCGCTCCAGGTTCTGAAGAAGGCCTTCCAGGCCACACTCAGGTGGCTCCTGAGCTCACCCAAGACCCCCGGCTGCTGCGACCTGGACCCCCACACCCAGCTGTTCCTCACAGGTGATCCCAGCCCCTCCCAGGGGTGAACTGAGGGAGGAGCAGGGACGGAGGCGACTGGGGGCTGGGTGGGAGGCAGGGTGGACATGGCCCGGGCCCTCTGAACCGTTCCTCCTGCCCCAGAGCTGCTTCCTGTGCTACAGAAGCGCCTGTGCAGCCCCTGCTGGGAGGTAAGGGACTCAGGCCTCGAGTTCCTGACCCAAATGACCAGACACTGGGGAGGTGAGTGCAGGGTGCAGCGCCGGGGGCTGGGGTCCCTGTGGGAGGGCTGGCCTGGCCTTGGCACACCGTTGTCCCCAGGTAGTTGGGAACTCGGACTACCTAGGCTGCCTTTGGGGAGGGAGGAGAGGCTGTGGACTCAGCTTTCGGTCATAGCTGGTTGTGGCTGCTTGGACCCCCAGGGCAGGCCGGCTTCAGACAAGCGCTCCTTGCTTCAGAGGTGCCCGAGCTCACCAAGCAGCTTCTGCGAGACCCTGAGAGTTACGTCCGTGCGAGTGCAGTGACCGCCACAGGGCAGTTGTCTAGCTGGGGGCTGTGTGCCAGCCCTGAGTGCCCAGGGGCTCAGCAGGTAGGAGGCAGTGGGTCCTGTGGCCGTGCGCCCACCTGGCGGCTGTCCTGATGCCTGGGTGGAGTGGGTCTGCCGCCCAGGGGTGGCATTCGGGGTCGGGCGTGTCCCCTGAATCTCCGGCTCCGCTTCCTGGAAGCCCTGTCACTTGGGCACGGCCACCCCTGTTTGACGGTGGGCAGATGGGGGGCTGAAGGGCACATCGCCTGAAGGAAGCCGAGCATGGCAGGGGGCCCTCATGGGGGTTCTCCCTGCTGCACTCCGAGCCCGTCAGCGGGAACTCGACTTCCCTGGTCCCTCCACCCTCTTCCCACTCTGTCCTCCAGGAGAGCCTGCTCGTGGAGCTTCTGCACATCCTCTCCACAGACTCGGAGGGCTTCCCCCGGAGGGCCGTCATGCAGGTCTTCACTGAGTGGCTGAGGGATGGCCATGCTGATGTAGCTGAAGACGCGGAGCGGTTTGTGGCTGGAGTGCTCCAGGCGGCGAGCAGGGACTTGGACTGGGAGGTGCGGGCCCAGGGCCTCGAGCTGGCACTGGTGTTCCTGGAGCAGTTGCTGGGTCAGCGCGGCTCCCACTGTCCCTATGCCGTGGCCCTGCCCGAGACAGCCCCACCTGGCGTGCTGGCCCAGGCCCTGCAGGTGCTCTGCCGTGTGCAGCTCTTTGAGTTTGCCTTCCGTGCCTTGTTTGACTGTGACCGACCTGTGGCCCAGAAGTCCTGTGATCTCCTCCTATTCCTGAGGGCCAAGGCTGCTCCCTGTGGCAGCCCGCAGGAGGCGGGGGACAGTCCCAACGTGGCCTCTGTGGAGGCCACCCTGCAGAGATGGCAGGCAGGTGAGCAGGGTCAGCCCCTGGGGTACCTGGAGCCCGGGGCCGTCGTAGCTCTGCTGAGGTCTGTAGACCTGGAGGGCCTTCGGGACACCCTGGCTGAGAGCAGTGACCATGTGGAGAAGAGCCCCCAGTCACTCTTGCAGGACATGCTGGCTGCCGTGGGCGTCCTCGGGGAGAACGAGGCCGACTGCTACTGACCAGCCTAGTGGCAACCTCCCCAGGACCCTGCTGCTGCACCACGTCCCTTCCTTGGGCCCTGCCATCCTGAGGGCTCTAGTCTGGCCTGGCTGCACAAGGGACCCTCCAGGGAAGCCAGGACCAGGTGAGCCCAGCAAGCTCAAAGAGCCCCACATTTTGATGTATTGCTGAAGAAGTGGCTTATTTTCTACTCAAAATAAGTGATTTGACGGTGCCACTGGGTCAGCACAGTGTTCTAAGACTGCCCAGGGGTAGGCCACAGGCCTCGGGGGGGGCTTGGAGAAACATCTGGGGAGGGACCCTCTGCACAGTGGCCACGTGCTTCCGTGGCATGGAGGGGTGGTTCCTCTGCTTGGATCCCACCATGCCCCAGGGACACCCAAGGTCAGAGAGCAAACAGCTCAGGCTGGAGAGTGTCTGGCCTTGGTCCCTGGTCCCTAACGATAGTGACCCCAGGTCTAACCAAGCCAGGTTTTCAGTCTCTGAACCCCCAGGATCAGCTTGACTTTGTAACAGTTCAGAGCTCACCATTTCAACTCACCAGGCACGTAGAGTTGCCAGTGGTAACATCAGGGGAGTTGAGCTCTGGGCTGGTCCTCAGGGGACCAAACAGATGGTACACCAGCCCGAGCTCTGCCATTTCCCAGCCATGTGACCCTGGGTTGACCTGTTCCCCCATCTGTAAAATGGGAATTTTACTCTTTGCCTCCCAGAGGTAAGTGTCTCAGTGTTCTAAAGCACCCAGAACAGTCAAAGAAGAAATCTCAAGAGAAACTTTAAAATATTTTTAACTGAATGAAAATGAAATTACAACTTACCAAAATTCGTGGGATGTAGCAGAAGCAGTGTTCAGAGGGATGTTTATAGCATTGAATGCGTATATGAGAAAAGAAGAAACATCTAAGATCAATAAACTAAGCTTCCACCTTAGGAAACTAGAAAAAGAGCAAATTCAACCCAAAGTAAGCACAAGAAAAGAAATAATAAAAACTAGAGCAGAAATCAATGAAATTGAAAACAGGAAATCAATAGAGGAAATCAAGTAAACCAAAAACTGGTTTTTGAACAGATCAATAAAGTCAATGGGCCCCTTGCTAGGCTAAGAAATAAAAGGGAAGACACAAATTACTAGTACCAGAAATAAAAGGGGACATCACTGCAGATCCCATGATAATTGAAAGGATAATAAAGGAACACGGTCAACTCTGCCCACAAATTTGATAACCTACGTGAGATGGACTAATTCTTTGAAAGACAGTCTGCCAAACTGATACAAGAAATAGATGATCTGAGTAGGCCTGTATCTGTTAAAGAAATTGAATCCGTAATTAACAACCTTCTAAAACAGAAAGCATGAGGCCCAGGTGGTTTCACTAGTGAATTCTACAAAACATTTAAGGAAGAAATTATACCAGTCCTCTACAGTTTTCCAGAAGATAGAGCAGAGGGAATACTTCCTAACTCAGTCTATGAGGCCAGCATTACCCTAATACCAAAACCAGACAAATATCCAAGAAAACTAGGAACCAGTTTCATCATAGATACAGAAGTCCTTAACAAAATATTAGCAGATTGCATCCAACAATGTATAGAAAGAATTATGCACCAAGATCAAGTGGGGTTCACTTCATGTATGCAAGGCTGGTTCAACATTTGAAAATCAGAGCGATCCATCACATCAACAGGGTAAAGCAGAAAAATCACAAATCATATCAGCTGCAGGAGAGGCATTTGGCAAAACCTCTTACTATCCTCAGTTTTTAGATTGGGCTGAGAGGTGAAGACCCCACAGCCTCTGGAAAGACCCATGTCCTTTGCTGTGTCATAGAAACTTCTTGCAGGGAGAGGTGTGTACGGACAGCAGGGGACCTGTTCCCGGGAGATGCTGTGCCCTGTGGAAAGCAGCTGGTGTTGTCTCGGGCAGAATTTGCATTCTTGGTGCAGGCCTAGCAGGTCTGTCTTCTCACTCCTTCGCTAAGGCCAGCGCCCATCAGACGGACCTACCTGGTCAAACCCTGGCTTCACCACTTACAGGCTGCTCTGTCCTTGGGCAGGTCATTTAATTCCGCTCAGCCTGGCCTTGTCTATAAAATGGGGATGGACCTCCCCAAGCTGTTGAGAACTGACTGAGACATGGTGAATAAAATGCCTGACATTGTGACTTTCACAAAGAAGATAGTCAACAAGAAGGTGTTAGCTTCTTCCTTTAGTCCTTCCTCTCCCTTAACTGCTGTTCCCAAGGTTGTGTGGATCAGCCTTTTCTCTTCCTGCTCTGCCCACCTCCTCTGAGAGATTTAGTTCAGTTCCCTGGCTTCACACACAGCCCTCACACTGACAGGTTAGGACTCCTGTCAGACTTCTCTGAGCCCTGGACCTGCACGTCCAGTGCCAGTGGGTCAGCTGCACTGGGGTAGGACGAGGACCCTGCACGTGTGACAACACTAAGCTGCGACACTGCCTCTCTGGTGGATTCCTGAAGTCATTTCTCACAGGGCCTCCTTCCAGCAGCCTTCCCTTCCTCTAATCTTACCCTCTCTGGCTGAAGCAATCTGTCTAAACCTGGTTATTCTCACTCCCCTGCCTAGACCCTACTGTGGCTCCCCATTGTCAACAGGCTGGCACACAAGACCCTTCAGGCTGGGCACCTGACATCTCCAGCACAGTCTCTTGCAAAGCCCTACCTTAGTCCATACCCTGGAAAATCGCCGGTGTGTGACTATGTAAATCGCTTGGCAGTGCTTAGATTACTGGGTCCTCTATCTGAGTTTCTGAAGCAGGAGGTCCACAGCGGGGCCCTTGAAGCTGCATTTTTAAAAAAAGTTTATTTTTGACTGCATTGGGTCTTCATTGCTGCACGTGGGCTTTCTCTAGCTGTGGTGAGCGGGGGCTACTCTTCGTTGTGGTGCGTGGGCTTCTCATTGCGGTGGTTTGTTGTGGAGCATGGGTTCTAGGTGCATGGGCTTCAATAGTTGTGGCCCATAGGCTCAGTGGTTGTGGCTTGCAGGCTCTAAAGTGCAGGTTCAGTAGTTGTGATGCACGGGCTTAGCTGCTCCACAGCATGTGGGATCTTCCTGGACCAGGGATCGAACCCGTGTACCCTGCATTGGCAGGCGGATTCTTAACCACTGTGCCACCAGGGAAGTCCCGAACCTTCATTTTTAACAAGCGTAACAGGAGAGCCTGGTGATAAAAGTATGTGTTTTGGTTTGTCTAAAAATGCCTTCACTGTCGTACTTGAATATATTGAGCATAAATACTAAGTTAGTGGCTGTTTCCTTCCAACACACTGAAATACACCGAGTGCTTTCCACCATCCCCTGGCTTCCATTGTTGCAGCCAAGAGGTCGCTGTCAGTCTGCTATTCTTGGAGGGAGCCTATCTTTTCAGTGGATGTTCTTAAGTTGTTTCCCATTGTCTTTGGTTTTTCTGTAATTTTACTACCATGGATAGGTGAGAAGTTTTAAATTTATTCTTGGGATTCTTGAATCTGGATTGGTGTTTTTCATCAGTTCTGGCAAATTCTCAGCTGCTATGCTTTCAAAGTGCTTTTCTCTGATCCAAATTCTCTCTCTAGCACCCACCCCCGCATTTCTCTTTCTCTCCTCCTAGAATAGAGATCTATACATCTGAGATCTCATTGTTCTCTCCACGTCTTTTAACCTCTCCACTATTTTCCGTCTTTTGATTTTTGTATGTTGTGTTTGTGCTTTTAAACATTTGTTAACACTTTAGCTTCCTGTTCTGTGCCGATACTTTCAAGCTTACCTTTGACTTCTTCAAACCTGAGAAGCTCAGTTGTTTTATAACCCGTGTCTATATTGTAGTAACACCTAAGAAGCTCAGTTGTTTTATAACCCGTGTCTATATTATAGCAACACTAGCTGCTTATCAAACAAACCTTAAAATTCCACGGCTTAAACTAATGCAGGTTTATTCACTAACCACAGAGTAGTGCACTGTAGGTGTTTCTTCATTGGGCAGCTTTCCTCCAGGCGGTGAAACGGGGACCCAGGTCCCTTCATCCTGGTGCCTTCTCATCATCAACCCATGGTTCCTAAGATTCCCCTAGAGTTTGGGCCCAGGCCAGGCATCCAGGAGTGAGAGAAGAGCATGGAGGTTCAGATAGAGGTTTTTATGGGTGAGGCCCAGAAGTTGCACAGTTATCACCTACATTCTTTGGCCCAGACTTCAGTCATTTGGCCATGCCTGACTACGAAGGACTCAGGAATGCAGTAGGGCCAAGTGCATGGGACCAACCAGCCGGGGTTTGCCACAGTGCGCCCAGTTCCAGGACACAAAGCCCACACGTGTCTGCCCGTGGCTTGTTTTCACATGTTCTTGGTCATCTTTAAATGTGTTGTGATCACTGGCTTCAAAAACTTATATGTGGGGATTCTTGGAAGCCTAGGGTGAAGGGGCCCCCTTCATTCCAAATTCACTGCTTGGAGTTCTCTGCCCAACCAGCTTACACATCCCTGGGTCTCAAATCAGTGAAAGGGCAGATCTGTAGCTCTGACTTCTCAGGAACTTTGTTGCATTTTGATTTTGCTTCTCTTAGCACCAAGTCAGTCTTATCTACTGTTCCCTGAGATTTGGAGCAGGATGGAGGGGGCAGGTTTAATTCTGAGTCATTAGTACCCTGAGAGCATAACTCTTCAGATTTTCAGTTTATTATTTTTGCTTTTTGAAGTATAGTTGATATACAATATTAGTTTCAGATGTACAACATAATGATTGAATATTTTTATATGTTATACTCTATTTAAAGTTATTATAAAATATTGGCTATATTCCCTGTGCTGTATAATATATCCTTGTAGATTATTTATTTTATATAGTAGTTTTTACTTCTTAATGCTCTACCCCTATTTTGCCCCTCCATCCTTCCCTCTCCCCACTGGTAACCACTAGTTTATTCTCTATGAGTGTTTTGTTATATCCATTTGTTATATTTTTCAGATTCCACATATAAGTGATAACATATATCTGTCTTTGTCTGACTTATTTAACTAAGCTTAACACCTTCCAGGTCTATCCATGTTGCTGCAAATGGACAAATATTCTTTTTTATGGCTGCGTAATATTCCAGTGTGTGTCTGTGTGTGTGTGTACTTATCCATTCATCTATTGATGGACACTTGGGTTGCTATCACATCTTAGTTATTGTAAATAGTGCTGCTATGAACATTGGGGTGCATGTATCTTTTCAAATTAGTGTTTTCATTTTTTCTAGATAATATACTCAGGAGTGGACTTGCCATATCATAGGGTAGTTTTATTTTTAGTTTTTAAGAAACCTCCGTAATGTTCTCCATAGTGGCTGCACCAATTTACGTCCCCACCAACAGTGCACAAGGTTTCCCTTTTTTCCACATCCTTGCCAACATTTATCATTTGTAGATTTCTTGATGGTAGCCATTTTGACAGGTGTGAGGTGGTATTTCATTGTGGTTGTGATTTACATTTCTTTGATGATTAGCAATGTTGAGCATCTTTTCATGTGCCTGTTGGCCATCTATATATCTTCTTTGGAAAAAAATGTCTCTTCAGAACTTCCACCCATTTTTTAATTGGGTTATTTGTGTTTTTGGATGTTGAGTTGCATGAGTTGCTTATACATTTTGGATATTAACCCCTTATCGGTTATATCATTTGCAAATATTTTCTCCCGTTCAGTAGGTTGTCTTTTTGCTTTGTCAGTGGTTTCCTTTGCTGTGCAAAAGCTTGTAAGTTTATTAAGTCCCATTTGGTTATTTTTACTTTTGTTTCCTTTGCTTTAGGAGATCCAAAAAAAACCCCCAAAAAACTATGATTTATGTCAAAGAGTGTTCTGCCTATGTTTTCTTCAAGGAGTTTTATGGTTTGTGGTCTTAAATTTAGGTTTTTGATCCATCTTCAGTTTATGTATATGATGTGAGAAAATGTAATAATTTAATTCTTTTACATGTAGCTGTCCAGCTTTCCCAGCACTGCTTATTGAAGAGACTGTCTTTTTCTTTCTTTCCTTCTTTTTTAACATCTTTATTGGGGTATAATTGCTTTACAGTGGTGTGTTAGTTTCTGCTTTATAACAAAGTGAATCAGTTATACATATACATATGTTCCCATATCTCTTCCCTCTTGCGTCTCCCTCCCTCCCACCCTCCCTATCCCACCCCTGTCTTTTTCCATTGTACATTCTTGCCTCCTTTGTTGTAGATTAATTGACTATAAATGCATGGCTTCTCTATTCTGTTGTAGATTAATCGACCATTTCTGGACACTCTTCTGTTTCATTGGTATACATGTCTGTTTTTGTGTCAGTACCATACTGTTTTAATTACTGTAGCTTTGTAGTATAGTCTGAAGTCAGGGAGTGTGATACCTCCAGCTTTGTTCGTTCTTCTCAAGATTATGTTGGCTATTCAGGGTCTTTTGTGCTTTCATATTAATTTTAGGATTATTTGGTCTATTTCTGTTAGAAATGTAATGTGTATTTTGATAGGAATTGCATTAAATCTGTAGACTGCTTTGGGTAATATGGACATTTTAACAATAATAATTCTAATCCACGAACATGGGATATCTTTCCATTTCTTTGTATTCTCTTCAGGTTCCTTCATTAGTGTTTCATAGTTTTCAGAGTATAGGTCTTTTGCCTCCTTGATTAAGTTTTTTTCTAGGTATTTTATTCTTTTTGATGTGATTTTAAACGGGATTGTTTTGTTGCTTTCTCTTTCTGAGAGTTCATTATTAGTGTATAGAAAAGCAGCAGATTTCTGTATATTAATCTTCTATCCTGCAACTTTACTGAATTAATTTATTCTAACAGTTTTTTGATGGAGACTTTAGGGTTTTCTCTATATAGTATTATGCCATTTGCAAATAGTGACTGTTTTATTCTTCCCTTCCAGTTTGGATGCCTCTTATTACTTTTTCTTTTCTGATTGGTTCAGCTAGGACTTCTAATACTATGTTAAATAGAAATGGCAAGAGTGGGCATCCTTGTCTTGTTCCTGATTTTAGAGGAAAAGCTTTCAGCTTTTCTCTGTTGAGTATGATGTTAACTGTGGTTTTGTCATAAATGCCCTTTATTATGTTGAGATATGTTCCCTCTATACCAACTTTTATGATAGTTTGATTAATTGGTGTTGAATTTTGTTAAGTGCTTTTTCTGCATCTATTGAAACGATTATGTGAATTTTAT